CCTATTTCATATTCATACTATGGTATTGCATGATCCATCTATGCGATAAAACAAAAATATTATATTTTCATATTTATCTTGAAATATGTGGGCTAACCCCTACGAAAATACTGAATTTTCTAAAAAATGCTATCTATAATATTTCATCTCTTTAGTGTTATTTAAAAATAACTAATCACACTGTACATTTATATATGTGCATGGTAAACTTATTTTCATGGTATATGGGCATCATTTATTATTTTTCATTAAGTAAATTATTTAAACTTCATATACCATCTAATAAGTGGACTAACCCCTATAAAATCTCTATTTTTTAGAGAAACGGAAACATCTAAGGTGTTAAACCTATTTCATATTCATACTATGTTAGTGCATGATGGATATAGGCAGTAAAACAAAAATATTATATTTTCATATTTATCTTGAAATATGTGGGCTAACCCCTACGAAAATGCTGAATTTTCTGATAAATGCTATCTATAATATTTAATCTCTTTAGTGTTATTTAAAAAAAACTAATCACACTGTAAATTTATATATGTGTATGGTAAACTTATTTTCATGGTATATGGGCATCATTTATTATTTTTCATTAAGTAATTTATTTAAGCTTCATATATCATCTAATAAGTGGACTAACCAATAGAAAATCTCTATTTTTTAGAGAAACAGAACATTCAAGGTGTTAAACCTATTTCATATTCATACTATGGTATTGCATGATCCATCTATGCGATAAAACAAAAATATTATATTTTCATATTTATCTTGAAATATGTGGGCTAACCCCTACGAAAATACTGAATTTTCTAATAAATGCTATCTATAATATTTCATCTCTTTAGTGTTATTTAAAAATAACTAATCACACTGGAAATTTATATATGTGTATGGTAAACTTCTTTTCATGGTATATGGGAATCATTTATTATTTTTCATTAAGTAATTTGTTTAAACTACATATACCATCTATTAAGTGGACTAACCCCTAGAAAATCTCTATTTTTTAGAGAAACAGAAACATCTAAGGTCTTAAACCTATTTAATATTCATACTATGTGAGTGCATGATGGATTTAGGCAGTAAAACAAAAATATTATATTTTCATATTTAGCTTTAAATATGTGGGTTAACCTCTACGAAAATACTGAATTTTCTAATAAATGCTATCCATAATATTTAATCTCTTTAGTGTTATTTAAAAATAACTAATCACACTGTAAATTTATATATGTGTATGGTAAACTTATTTTCAAGGCATATGGGAATCATTTATAATTTTTTATTAAGTAATTTATTTAAACTTCATATACCATCTAATAAGTGGACTAACCCCTATAAAATCTCTATTTTTTAGAGAAACGGAAACATCTAAGGTGTTAAACATATTTCAT